AAAATTCATTAGTTTTAATGCAACTTCTCATTTGTTCCGTGTTTTCAAACAATACTTTTAACGATTTTGCCCACGGAAACATTTTTATCTTCGTTTTTAAAAAGAAGACGTGATAGATTTTTTCCATCCTCTGGTTTATGTTTTCATTTCCTTTTCCTACATTATTATACTTAAAAAAAACAAACAAATAATTAACCATTGTAGTAGTCACGCATTTATTTTCTTTTATTTCTGTATACGTACCAATTTCGATGATTGGAGTATGTCTTCCGTTTTTTATTTTTTATAGTGCTAACTGTCTTTGCGATGTGCGTATGCGGTGGTGTGAGTTGCTTTATCGAAATAATAATAATAAAAATAAAATGTGTGCCTCTCAAAGCGAGAGAACATTTGATATTCTAAACAAAAAGTGATGAATCCGCTATTAAGCCGATCGGGGACGTTAGAGGTCTTATCGATTGGCATGTTCTTCTTTTGAACGCAGAGCTGTGTCAAAGGCGAGCGCTCGTTCCTTTGAACCAGGAAAACACGTGTGCCTACTATTATGGTAAATGGCTTCGAACCGAATAAAAAAATGAAATAAAAAAACTACGCGTATTCCCGTGCAATAATAAATTGTTATCGACTATGTTCTTAATGTATGGTCTTATATTATCTGCCGTAGCTGGTATACCTACGAAAATCGATTGTCCTTTTTCCAAACCGGTCGTCGACGAGACTTTCTACAAAAAATTTCACCGGGAAAACCGCCGTCACTCTTTCCCATCCACACCCCTAACACAATCCGTTTTCTTCCATCCCACCCACCCTCCCAGCAACAACTGCGCCGGGTAAGTCGTGAAATTCGTTTCGACGGGCACCGAAACAATGTGTCGCTTAATGACAGCGCCGCTCGCTCGAAGTCGGAGTTTCGTCGCCGCCGCCGCATCGAATGTTACACGTCATACGTGATATTATATTATACTCGTGCCCGCGCGCGTGCGTGTAACACCGGTAGTGATATTCACCCATAACGATAATAATAATGATAATAATAAACGCTGTGGTGACGTACGCACGCGTTGATAATAATTATTATTGTCTTCTCCTATTGTGTGGCCGCCGCCAATGGCGTGTGTACCGTATTATTATTATTACTATTATACTACTCTCTGCGCCGGGCGTTTTACACTCGCTGTAGGTACGTATGCAGGTGACACACATCCTGGCCGCCGCCGCCGCCCGTCCATGAATACTAATAAACGTCCGCCGCGCCTCCGTCTCCGTAGTCGTTGTTCTCCCGATCGTTTCTCGAGAATACGTCCCAGTTATCATCCTCTTTTCTTCGAGTTTATCGGAGAAGTGTAGAACCCTTTCCTCTCTCACGCCTTTTCCGCCGAGTTGGTTTGCCTCTCGTCACCGGTGCACCACAGCTCTGCACTATACGT